CCAAAGTCCGCCGAAATTGGACTCGTAAAACTTTTGTTGTACTTGACGACCACGACACTCTGCGGAATCAGAAAATATCACATATTGTTCAGCTCACTTTTCTCTCCAAGACTAGATGGTCCTTGAGTTTCCTTTTGTTCGAACGCCAAGAGGCTTACAAAATTACAAAAATCGTGACGGAATCACGGGAAGGAGACCGTTACGTGAACGTCCCGCTTAGTTCTTTTGATTCACCAGTAAAAAATATCTTTATTTCGAATAACGAACATGCTTCAAACAGAAACAGAAATAATTTATTCGAATTGGCTTCAAGATATTGATCCGCTTTTAAAATATTCTAATACCGACTTTGCTTCTTCACCTTCAGCTGTATCTGACCCTCATACACAATCAACAATTACTATTTAGATGAAATTACGTTTCCAGCTTTTCTTCCATGGTCAGGTATAGATGTTCTAGCTTCTCATCCAAGCACTTCTTCTTTTGATTCTGACTCTACAATAACACAACCTTCTAGTAATTCATTACCCGTTTCCGCCAACATTACTATTTTTACATGTTCTTCTCATTCATCACGTCATGATTTTATACGTAAAACTGCTGCCGATAATTAGGTAAATATCGCAAATAAAAAGATGAAGTTGCATCATGATTATTTAAATAATTTAACAGAAAAATTTAATGTACATGATTACGCAGACGTTCAAATTCACACAGCTGATCGTATAAATACAAACGCAAAACTTTTACTCTGTTTAATCATTGAAAAAAACACAAAAATGATGTTGTTATTTTCAAATTAGTTTGTCAATACGGTAAACTACAGAATGAATTCTCAATTGAAAATCTCGTAGACTTAAAGTTCGCTTGTCCACAAGAATTAAAACAACTTGATGTTGATGAATTAAAAGATATTTCGTTTATGGAAGCATGCAAACTTTATGTATGTGGGGTAGGGAGCCGAAGCACATGTGATTGTAAATCAAAATCTGCTACAAAGCACCGTCCATGTAAAAGGGCTAATGTATCATGCTCGACAAAATGTTATTAAAAAGAGTAGCTAGCTTGTCAGCATATTGGAGAATAGTGTGTCATGTGTCTTAAAGTGTACATAGTATAAAAGATTTTGATTAGAAAAGATGTTCTTCAATACAAATTAATTGTAAATATGATGGTTTGTTTTCTGCTGTTATGAATAAGTAACCTTTTTGTGAATTCGTTGTGAATAATATGACTTTTCTTGTATAAAAAAAACCCTACTACTTCCACAATCTCCCAAGCAAAAGAAAAAATCAATAAGCTAGTTCAACCTACGTAAAGCGGTACATTTTTTTTTTCTTTTGCTTGGGATGCCTGCTTTACGCGGCGAAGTGGATAAGTACCCTGTTCAGGAGAATGACTCATTACTCAACAGGAGAAGCTAAGAGCATGATTTTGGCATATATCATCAATTTCACGACTTCGTTAGCCATGATCTCTGTTTTTCCCATTCTAATTCAGCTAAGGACACAGCGCGCAAAAAAGAACAGAATTACTCATGCACATCAGACTCTACTAGCACCACGTATATAGCAGAGAGACACGTGAGTTAATCGATGAATTATTCTTTAGTCGATGTACTCATAATTATTGGTATTGTCTTTCTACTAATTGCAATAATCCTTATTGAAGAAGTTTTTTTCCAGTTACTCACCCTCTTCGAAAAACTATTGCTCTCTCTCTCTCTGTCTCTCGTTAGAACTTCATGATCACCTCAAACAGGGCTCCCGACAGACCTCGAAAATTTTGTATAAGTCCAAGAATAAACTGGAATATCCTACTTAGAAAACGTTCCGTCTGTAACTAGGATATTTTAGCTAATCTTGGGTATAAACTTCTACCACTCTCTTATATTTTCAATAGAAGAACGCTAAAGCTGGAGTAGTTTCACAAAAATGATGAGGTAAAGAGTTATACATTTAGAGGATAATTTCAAAGTTAACTTGTTTAGACTTATGGCGCCGGCGCCGGCAGCTACGTCTGTTGCGACATGACTAGCAAAGACAGGAGCTATGGGGACGGACAATGATCAGGAGGACGAGGACTACGCTACAGAAAATAACGCCAGAATAGTCAACGTTCTGCTGATGAAGTAAAAATTCAGGTGAACGAATTTATTTATTTGAAAAAAAGCATGCTCTTCATATTCAGATAGGTACTTCTATTTTGAATCGATGCACGCCAACGATTATTTGTACAAGCCACGATTAGTACATTGAAATGAATGAAGCTATGAACTGTTAAAACTTTTTGAAAACAGATCGGGTTGCTTGCACTTTGTTTTCACTGTGTACGTTTCACTAGAATTTTAAAGTTTGAGCACATAACACTGTATTTAAGAATAAACCCATGGGAAAATAATCAGAATGACCGATGACCTAAGAGATACTGTGCTGCTTACGGATTAAATAAAGGTTAGAAGTTTACTCAAAGTTTCTCTTCAGCTTTTCCTAGAAAACGGAACAGCATAAAGTTATGTCGAATGCTGTGAAAACTAATATTTCATGAGTAATGAGAGAACCTCTCCAGATGTCCAACTGCTAATTGATAGGTAATCGATCATGCTGATTCTGAATATAATAGCCGTTTTTGGCGATAGACCTTTCTTAACCGTTTTCTGGAAAATTGGTTTTCCGGAAACCTCGAAAAGTCCCCAGCAGTTTTTCTAAATAAGCCACGACTGCTGCCCGCGAAATTCGGATTAAAATGAGACATCTCCCGCTCTACACGGCCTTTCTTTGCAAAGTTATAGAATTTACAAGAAAAGCCCTAAATGTTTATTGTCACCTCAGAGCTATAGAAAGAAGAAGGATAGATGAATTAAGGGTTTTCTTGCGAATTCTAAAATCTATAACTTTGCAAACAAAGGTGATGTAGAGCTGGGAGATGTCTCATTTTAATCAGAATTTCGCGGGCAACAGTCCTGACTTATTTAGAAAAATCTCTGGGGACTTTTCGAGTTTCTGAAAAACCAGTTTACCAGAAACCGATTAAGAAAGGCCTATTGGCAAAAACGGCTATTATATTTGGAATCAGCATGGTCGATTATCTATCAACTACCGCATTTCGTTAGAAAAGCGGTTGGACATCTAGAAAGGTACCCTCTTAAGTGTATGTATGAAAAAAACGTCGTTGAGTTAGTTTCAATACGTTCCAATCTTTCTATGAAATTTATCAAAATATTTCAACACCTCCTCAGGTGCTTCCAAATTTGGATAATGTCCAACATCATCAGCTAACAGAATCACATCAGGATTATTCACTACTTTCTTAAAGTATTCTGCCAGATGTCGTCCACTCACTGGATCAGCTGGACCATTAATCAAACAAATTGGGACTGCTGCTGCTTCACTTAAACTCTTTTCCCATCTCTCTGCATTCTGTCGTCTTTCAAGAATATACTTTTGTAACTGATGGATATGACCAATGGGTGCTTGATGATAGAAGAGGCTGGCATAGAGATACAGTTCTTTTTCATCTAATTTCTTTGAGCCAAATACTTTATTTAGACTGTTGTGATAAGAGAATTTCACAGGAAGAATTGCTGGAAGAAGACGACCGAAAAATGGATTGAGAAGCACTTTTTGGACGAAGAGAGCTCTGTGTTGTGAAGGAAATACACCACCATTGAGAAAGACGATGGACGTAATTGGGAGAAAGGGTTGATCTTTGTGAACAAGACGAGCAAGTAGTTCTTGACCGATTGAAACACTGACATCATGAGCTAGGAGATGGAGAGGAGTTGTTATTTCGAGGGAGTTGATCAGACTGACGAGCATGTTACATTGAGTGGCGTATGACGAGACATTGGAAACCGGTCGATCAAAGGATTTATCAGAGAGACCATAGCCAAGAAGATCTGGTGCAATAACTCGAAAGTGTTTTGAGAGAGTGGGGAGGAGTTTGTGCCAATCATAACTTGCTGTTGGATAACCGTGAAGAGCCAGGAGGACGGGCTTTGAAGTAGTCTCGTCGAGGGTGTCGATGTAGAAGACATGTCGTCCTTGATACTGGTAATAGTGTCCACGTTCTAGCCACCGACGAAGTTCCGGAAAGTCCCAGATGCTGAGAGAAGAAGGCTGAAGGAGGTAGTTGAGGTATATGGTAATAACGACTCCAAAGAGGAAGACTTTAACATTCACAAATGCCATGCTTCCTTGATTGTATTGCTTCAAGATAGAAATAAGCTCGGCGTCAACTAATTCGTATTTTGCTTTGTCATTGTTAATCTATACAGAGAGAAAGGAACACGCTGTTTTTATTTTACGGTTAAATGGATTATTCTTTTCATTGACTTTTCTTTTTTCGTTTTGTATCTTCTTTTCTTCTGAGGGATAAAAAAACTCATTTTAAGTGTCATCTTTAAGTTCCAAAAGGACGTGTTCCATACTTTCTCTTAGCTGCTTAATTTGAATTTTTTAAAAATTTGTGCTCTATACTGCCCAAGCTCTCTTCTTCTTGGTTCAAAGTTGGTATAAACGTGCACGTGCACTTTCTTTACTTTTTTGTGAAACTTCGTCACTTTCGATCGTCGAATTTCTACAAATCAATCAACATACGTAAGTGCGTCATTTTTGCTTTTATTCCATTATTTTCATATTTGTCTCATTCGTCGAATATTATACCATTTCTCGTCCAATACTATATAATCACTCGTCCTCCTTGTCAAATTCATCATGCCAGATTTTTCACAACTGATTATCAACACGTATTTGAATTCAATTAAAAAAACTTATAAAAAACCTCAATGATTTATCCAGTGAGCATTATTTACCATTGATTATCAAATTATGTTCTACTCTGGATAATCTTGATGATGAGTCATCGAATATAACGATTTCATCAGATGTCAGCAACAACCATGAGGTTCATCTATAACACGATACAGTACACACGTAATATTGTTTCTTTTCCTCTTATAATATTACCTTATACTTGTGCGTATACTGTGTGTATATGTCCACGTGTTTTCTGTCAAAACATCTGATTAGCATACAAAATTCGATTTTATTTAACAAAATTTGAAAAATGACATAATCAATTCAATAATATGAATCAAAATGATAAGGATCGATTATGTAATGGTGATAGTTTTCAACAAACGCTGAGAGATAAAGCTAATAATGATCATCAGAGACAAACACGCACAATAAAACGACAATTAACAAGTTCAATTTTGAATTCTGATTGAAAAGGTGGAGATGAACGAAGAAGCGGAGCGACGATTTTCTTTGCTCCATCATTTAATTGTCTGTATTCACCAGTAATGAATGGCTGAACATCTGGAGGGAGACGATTAGGATTTTTTCTTAACTGATCGATCAGTTTTGCACGAAATTCTTGTAGCACTCCACATTTATAAGCACAGTACATGTCTATTCTTATCATTTTCTGTTCCACTAATTATTTCAATTTTGTAAATGAACTTAAGTTTTAACTTCAGTTCTTCTTCTAAACTCATTATCTAATGATTTAAATCATTCTATTACGTTAAACGATTTAGAAGAAGAACTGAAGTTAAAACTTAAGTCCATTTACAAAATTGAAGTAATTATTGGAACAGAAAATGATAAGAATAGACATGTACGTATCGAGTTAGAAAATAAAAAAAATATTATCAACTACAAAACCTACTTTCAAAAAATCGAACTCCATCATCGATTTTGTTTTAGCAAAAAGCTTTGAAAACTGGCAAGTGGAGTGTTTAGAAGATGGAAATTCTGATCACTATCCAGTTCTATTCTTTGCACCATTTGAAGCAGAAGAAGACGGTGTTTTTCGGAAAACAAGTTGGAAAATCTTTCATTTCTTTCTAAAAAGTCGTTTATAAATACTGGAATACACTAGTTTGTAATCTAGATTTTAATCCTTTTTTTTGACATATTCTCGTTATTTCTCGCATCACTGTACGATCGATGTAGCGAATTTAAAGAAATTAAATCGTTCAGAAATCCGTGACCGCTGTGCTTGGCGAAATAGCAAAAGATGTAAATAAAAGTAAACGTAAATTTAGAAAAACGAGATATCTAGGCGATTATTATAAGTTTAAAGATTTACGAGAGACTTATCAATGCGAAAAGTTAAATTTTGAACAAAAAAGGCGCGAAATAAAATTACAAAATATGAAAGAAGGGAACAACATCTGGTCCCATGTCAGAAACACTTTTTCTCCTTATTTTCCATCATTTAAAGGTCTTAAAGTGGAAGGTGGTGTTTTAAAAGATGGCCAAAAAATAGTTGACAGGCTCGCAAACTTTATGAGAAGCATTTTTCAGAACCTGAATACGATCGGAAAAATAAATTTCATCATGAATGTAAGAGAGAATACAAAAAACTGTTGAAATTGCCGAAAGAACCCTTAGATAAAGTAAAATTCGAAGAAGTGCTTAGTGTTTTTAAAAAGTTTGCGCCCAAAAGACCGTTAGACAGCGCCAATACATCAGCGTTTTTATTGAAAAATCTTCCATTAGAATATTTAAACACAATCACAATCCTGTTTAATAAATGTGCAGAAAATGGAGATTTTTTTGAAAAGGGTAAAATTGCAAAGAGAATATATTTATCAGAAGAAGGTGCATTTCCTTTTGAAGATCGGCTAAGATCTATTTCTCTTCTTCCAAACTTAGCTAAATGGTCTGAACGTATAATGGCTGCTAGAATTGAGGCGTGGTGCGTCGAACACGGTATACAAACTGAAAAGCAGTCAGGATTTATGTCTCATCGAAGATTACAAACCTGCATTATCTCTCTCGTAGAAGAACTGAGATTAACAGTAGCCGCTTGCAATAGACCTGCATTATGTTTGTTTATTGATTTTGAAACAGCATTCGATAAGCTGTGGTATCCTGCTCTATTTAAGACACTGGAAGACCTGGAAATGCCGCTATCTTTAAGGCGATGGATATGTGACTGGTTGCAAAACAGGTCAATGTATATTAGTCATGGAGATACCATTTCTAGGATTTTCAATGTTTTAGTAGGAGCTCCACAAGGTTCCGTCCTTGCTGCGCTACTGTTTCGTTTACATATTCACTTTTTACCACTATATTTTATGAAGGCAATATCTCATCTATTCGCCGATGATCTTACAATTACCATACAAGGTGCGCTTGAGAAAAAATTAACAGAAAATATAAAATATCTGCAAGAACAAGCAAATTCTATTTTGAAATCTTTAGAAAAATTCGCAGACAGTTATCTTCTACCAGTAACTTACTGGTAGAAGATAATTGTCTGCGAATTTTTCTCTCGTCTTTTTGACGTTCAACGTCAAAAAGACGAGAGCTATGTTAGTAAATAATACAGTGACAGTCCGAAACTATACCGCTTAAATATAAAAACGAAAGTATAAAATTCGTAAACAGTTTTAAATGTTTAGGGGTAATTTTAAATGTAAAATTAGGGTGGGGAAATCATATTGAGAACAGACTTAAAATGGCGAGAAATGTCTTTCAGGGCATGAGAAAACTTTTTGCAGATATTCCTGAAAAAGAAGGCAAACTACGAAGAAAAATCTTCTGTGCGTATGCCCTACTACACTTCGAGTGGCTGATGTTTAACTGTTTTTTTATACTGAAATGCAACGAATACAAATCGAACATACCTATAATACAAGACTTCGAATTGTTTACAGTTTATACGGGTACGAAGACATCACCACACTTGCTCTGTGTCGAGAATTTTCGTTAAGAGACTATGTATTTCGTTACTGGACAAAATTCATTAGACACCTAGAAACTTCAATCGAAGCAGTTGCGTTCCAACAAACGTTTAGCTCTTATTTGACTGTGAAAGAAAGGCCGAAAGTGTCTTACAAATCGCTAGGTCACCGGAAAAATAGTAAATTCTTGAATAGACTTGTTCAGCGAGCACAGCACTCAAAAAGTGATATTTGTCACTTTCTTGGTACACATAGCAAGCAGTACGGTATTTATAAAATGTCTACTTCGATATTGGAGGAATTTGTACTCAAAATTTTCCCTATATTTCCACCATGAGAAATGTAAAAAGTGTGTGAGAATGTGAGTGAGAAGAGTTAAGAAGCATAAAATATGAGAACTTGAACTTACAAGTCTATGTTCTCTCTTTGACGTTTTCTCATCTTAAAAAGTAAAATAAATAGATGTATTTTTTGTGCTATATCGTTTTGCTATAATTGAGATCCAGTGTAATAAATTATTGTGTTAAATCTGATAATTTAATGTATTTTTTTTCCTACTTCTCTTTTTGCACTGAAGACAATGTAAAATCTTTTTTCATTTGTTAACCCTTTTTGGGAACAATAAATATATATATGTTGAAAAAAACAACAACAACCATGAGGTTTCTTGTCATCTGTTATTCATGAGAATTCTAGATCAAAATGACCTGTGGGTTGAAAACATTATGTTCACATCATTCTCACTCGGTTGTTTTAAAATCTCGTGATTCGTTTCCATCCTCCCAGTTTCAACCAGTCTCAACAACAAATACAAGTCCTTTACCACATTTCGAACACATTTCATCGCAACTTTAAACTACCATGCCGATAAAACAATTACCATTGTTATCTAGTCGTGCTTCCACAGAAGCATCATCATTAAATCAACATAATCTATCAGTTTCTCCTTCATCAGACGGTCAAAATACCCAATCACAACCTGCATCACAGTTGGATGCACAGCGGAGTTCTACTTCTCCTTCAACACCTGTCTACATAACAGGCAGCAGTATCATCCAAAATTTAGAACAAGGTGTATCTACATTTAATGGTGCTAATTTTAATGTTAAAGTTCGAACA